AAAAAAAAAAATGGCCAGGTGTTGTGGCGGGCGCTTGTAGTCCCAGCTACTTGGGAGGCTGAGACAGGAGACTCGCTTAAGCCCAAGAGTTTGAGGTTGCTGTGAGCTGTGATGCTGTGGCACTCTACCGAGAGTGATATAGTGAAACTCATGTCACACACAAAAAAATTAGTCCGTTTGAATTAAATCAGTTACTTGAGATTTTTATATTTAAAGTAGCACTGTAAATTGACCACCCAAGGAATTGTAATAAACTGGTTAACATAAGGAACTAGGTCTGCTGTACTGATATGTACATGTGGTGCATGTCAAGTCTATGAAAATTAGGTCAACTTCAGGAGATGGTCATTGTAGGGACAAGGTCAGCTATGGTGGTTCTACTGTATATAGTTAGGGAAGGTCCCCTGAAATAATGAACTAAGACTTAAAGGGTATATCAGCAGAATCAGTAGATAGACTATAGGTAGTAGAGGCTAGATAGGAAGGTCTGCACAAGAACGGTTTGTAACTCTAATAATATTAGAGAAGTATAATAGGGAATAGGAGAGAAATGGAAGACTAGTGGAAAGTCTTGAAGGAGGTATAGAGTGAGTTTCTACTTCAACATTAGAGTGGGGTATTTAAGTGAAAGATCGGGTGTATGACCTTGTTGGCGTTTAAGACAAAGTAGGTAAGCAGGTTATTCTCATGGGACCATGGGAGTTAGAAAAGGAGGTGAAATGGTTATAAGAAGCATGGGAAATCCGGTGAATTTAAGATTATAGTGGGCAAAGGAAATTGCGATACTAGGCTTGGGAAATAAAAGAGATGTTGAATATTATTGATTGTAATTAAGTTCAGAAAAGAGAAGCTAAATTTGATGAAGATTGGAGAAGAAAGGCAGTGAGTAGACTGCCTCAATGGCAGAGAGGTAGACTATAAGGAGGAGGACACAGGTAAATATGAACATTAAAGAAAAAATAAAACTTAAGAGAAAAATTAAAACCAGAAAGATAGTGAATACTATCTTTCACATAGTACCTTATAGTTTTCAAGTTTTCAAACCCCTCAACAAGTGCTAATAGTGGCTTAGCGCCTGTGGCTCAAGCGGCTAAGGCACCAGCCACATAACACCTAAGGTGGCGGGTTCGAATCCCCAGCCCGGGCCTGCCAAACAACAATGATGGCTGCAACCAAAAAATGGCTGGGCGTTTTGGCGGGCGCCTGTGGTCCCAGCCACTTGGGAGGCCGAGGCAGGAGACTCGCTTGAGCCTAGGAGTTGGAGGTTGCTCTGAGCTGTGATGCCACGGCACTCTACCCAGGGGGATAGCTTGAGGCTCCGTCAAAAAAAACAAGAAAAAACAAGTGCAAATCCTCGTGCTAGGTAGAGTGAGAACTATAAAGGTGAATATAGTGGGGGGGCTTTGCCAGATGCCTATTCTACTTCCTTGTTCTCTTTTCTAGGAGTTTATTCAAAAGTGCCTGCAGTCTGAGCCAGCTCGCAGACCAACAGCCAGAGAACTTCTATTCCACCCAGCACTGTTTGAAGTACCCTCACTCAAACTTCTTGCTGCCCACTGCATTGTGGGACACCAGCGTAAGTCTCCTTGGCCCTGCTAGGAATTTTCTTCCAGTTTGGGGGTCTTAGAATTCTCAACAGCATGCTCTTTCCTCTTCTGCTTGCAAGGGGATTTTTTACCTCTTTGCCTCTGTGCTTTCTATGACATTAACCTGCCTATCCCTCCATGACATGCCACTCCATCATGCCTTCCAGACATGATCCCAGAAAATGCTCTGGAGGAGATCACCAAAAACATGGATACCAGTGCTGTTCTGGCTGAAATCCCTGCAGGACCAGGAAGAGAACCGGTTCAGACTTTGTGAGTAACTGAGAGGGTTTGAAAGGGACATATTGGTCACTATCACCCTGAGGCTCTGTATGCTGTCCATTCCCTGGGAATGGTTGAATGTCCTATTTTGCTTGTTTCCTTCCTTCCATCTTCTTTCTCCCTTTTTTTCTCTAGGTACTCGCAGTCACCAGCTCTGGAATTAGATAAATTCCTAGAAGATGTCAGGTAAGAGTGGAGTGAGAAGCAAGCTTTCTTTAGAAAGTAGGGGTGTGTTGGCTCAGTGCCTATGGCTCAAGTGGCTAAGGCGCCAGCCACATACACCTAAGGTGGTGGGTTCGAATCCAGCCCAGGCCCGCCAAACAACAATGACGGCTGCAACCAAAAAATAGCCGGGCGTTGTGGTGGGCACCTGTGGTCCCAGCTGCTTGGGAGGCAGAGGTAGGAGACTAGCTTGAGCCCAGGAGTTGGAGGTTGTTGTGAGCTGTGATGTCATGGCACTCTACCCAGGGGGACAGCTTGAGGCTCTGTCTCAAAAAAAAAAAAGAAAGTAGGGATGTGTGTCTTAAGGCATCATAGAGCCCATGTGACCTGTCTTCATCTCCTTCCAGGAATGGCATCTACCCTTTGACAGCCTTTGGGCTACCTCGGCCCCAGCAGCCACAACAGGAGGAGGTGACATCACCTGTTGTGCCCCCCTCTGTTAAGACTCCAACACCTGAACCAGCTGAAGTGGAGACCCGCAAGGTGGGGGCTATGGGGTTGTAGATGTCTCTGTAGCCAATAGTGGGAGGGAGAAAGGACATCTCAAATAAGGTTTTGTTCTTTAAAGAATGCATTTTATGGGTGGCACCTGTGCTCAGTGGGTAGGGTGCCAGCCCCATATACTGTGTGTGGTGGGTTCAAACCCAGCCGCGGCCAAACTGCAAAAAAAAAAAAAAAATATATAGGTGTTGTGGCGGGTACCTGTAGTCCCAGCTACTCGGGAGGCTGAGGCAAGACAATTGCCTAAGCCCAGGAGTTGGAGGTTGCTGTGAGCTGTGTGATACCTCAGCACTCTACCAAAGGCAATAAAGTAAGACTGTCTCTGTAAAAAAAAAAAAAAAAAAGAATGCATTTTCTGCTTTGTGGCAGCTATGTTCTGTGGGCTGGAAAGGCTTCCAGGTTATTGGTCTGTAGTTCTAGTGACCCTGTCTGACCTTTCTCCCTAGGTGGTACTGATGCAGTGCAACATTGAATCAGTGGAGGAGGGAGTCAAGCACCACGTAAGGATCAGGGCCAGGGCTGCATGGGGCTGGTTGGCCGGAAGGTGGGGAAAAGAGGAGCCTCATTTTATGAATGTCCTATTCTCCAGCTGACGCTTCTGCTGAAGCTGGAGGACAAACTGAACCGGCACCTGAGCTGTGACCTGATGCCAAGTGAGTCTCTCCTTTCCCTCAGAGGATGGAGAGTCTGAGTCTTATCTCTGAGGGACATATTCAGGGATGGGGAAGGTGACAAAGGCAGGAACACAGTGACTCACCTAGAATGACTGTCAGCCTCTGAAATTGGTGGGAGTTGCCGGATTAGTGCTATTTGAAGGGTGTTGCCGGACTGGTGCTTCATTCCCATAGTATATTTACTCCTCTCTCTTTGTCAGATGAGAACATCCCGGAGTTGGCAGCTGAGCTGGTGCAGCTGGGCTTCATTAGTGAGGTGAGGTTGCCGCCGCCTTCTGCCCTGGCTGCCTCCATGCTGTGTTGTCTCAGCCCATCTCACTGAGCTCTTCTTCCCCAGGCTGACCAGAGCCGGCTGACTTCTCTGCTAGAGGAGACCCTGAACAAGTTCAATTTTGCCAGGAACAATACCCTCAATTCAGCCGCTGTCACTGTCTCCTCTTAGAGCTCACTTGGATCAGGCCCCTCTCTGAGCTGTGGCTGTCGCTGGACACGCTACAGTCCTCCTGTCCTTTCCCCCCCAGTCAGTATTACCCTGTGAAGCCCCTTCTCTCCTTTATTATTCAGGAGGGATTGGGGGCTCCCTGGTTCTGAGCATCATCCTCCCCTCCCCTTTCTCTTCCTCCCCTCTGCACTTTGTTTACTTGTTTTGCACAGAAGTGGGCCTGGGCCTTCTCAGCAGCCGCCTTCTAGTTGGGGGCTAGTAGCTGATCTGCTGGCTCCCGCCCAGCCTGTGTGGAAAGGAGGCCCACGAGCACTGGGGGAGCTGAATTCTACAATCCCGCTGGGCGGCCGGGGCGGGAGAGAAAGGTGGTGCTGCAGTGGTGGCCCTAGGGGGCCATTCGATTCGCCTCAGTTGCTGCTGTAATAAAAGTCTACTTTTTGCTAAAACCGTCGTTTGCGTGTATGTGCGCCTTCCCCGCTAGGGGGCGCGGGCTGGGCGCCTGCGACGGGAGGAGGGATGTCCAGGTAGCGCTGGGCGGGACGGCCGCGGGGCGGGGCCAGGCCCAGGTGGAGCTGCCCTGCGGCTGCGGCGCAGCGGGAAGCAATGAGGTGCCGCGGTCTCTGCGCGTTCGGTAACTTCCGGGTCCTTCTCACTCTGCGACCACCCTCAGGCCTTGACGCTCCTGGGGGGAGCATCCCTCCCCTCCCTACTCAGGCCTGCACCCCATCACCCTGTGCTTTGCAGACGCTGCGCGGGGGCCCCGACGCCTGATGAGCGTGGGCCTTGCGCTGATCTTGGTGGGCCACGTGAACCTGCTGCTGGGGGCCGTGCTGCACGGCACCGTCCTGAGGCACGTGGCCAACCCCCGAGGCGCTGTCACACCGGAGTACACCACGGCCAATGTCATCTCCGTTGGCTCGGGGCTGCTGGTGAGCGGCAGGGTGGGGGTGGGGCTCAGGTTCCGGCGTACTTAAGAGCCCAGCGGGCCAAAGGCTTTGTGTTTTCAACAGAGTGTTTCCGTGGGCCTTGTGGCCCTCCTGGCATCCAGGAACCTTCTTCGCCCACCACTGGTGAGAGGGGACTTCCGGAGCTTGCAGGGAGGCGACCTTCAGTCAGGGAAATGGGGTCTGACTGAGCTTGGTCAGTGGACTGGGAAGAGCCTCAAATAGAGAAACAGGGGTGTCTAGTCATTGGGAGAGTTAGCCAGACCCGGGCTGATCAGCCGATCTCTTGTCCCTGCCAGCACTGGGCCCTACTGGCACTAGCTCTGGTGAACCTACTCTTGTCCACTGCCTGCTCTCTGGGCCTTCTCCTTGCTGTGTCGCTCACTGTGGCCAACGGTGGCCGCCGTCTTATCGCTGACTGCCACCCAGGACTGCTGGATCCTTTGGTACCACTGGACCAGGGGCCTGGACACACTGACTGCTCCTTTGATCCGACAAGAATCTATGTAAGCACATTCTCTTTCTTCTTCCCATCCACAAAGCCCTTTTGTTTCCCCTATTTGCACACCCCTGCTCCACTCCCTCAGTCCCTGTCCTTTCTTGCTTTTTAGGAAACAGCCTTGGCTCTCTGGATCCCTTCTTTGCTCATGTCCGCAGGGGAGGCTGCTCTGTCTGGTTACTGTTGTGTGGCTGCACTCACCCTACGTGGAGTTGGGCCCTGCAGGAAGGAAGGGCTTCAGGGACAGGTAAGGAAGAAGAACTGTAAGGGTTGATTCAACACAGGTTGGCTGTGTCAAAAAGATGCTGATCTTTAGGGATAGGGTGTCTAACTCCCTTCTTCTGCAGCTGGAGGAACTGCTAGAACTTGAACCTCCTAAATGTAAAAAGCAGGAAAATGAGCAGCTACTAGATCAAAATCGAGAAATCCAAGTACAACAGAAAAGTTGGGTTTAAAACAGGTAATGGGGTCAGGAGGGTGGTGGCCTGGGTAACAGTGGAGGCAGGGAAGTGCTCTTAAAGCTGGGTATAGGCTAGGGGCTGCGCCTGTGGCTCAGTGGGTAGGGCACCAGCCCCAGCCAAACTGCAACAAAAAAATAGCTGGGCATTATGGCAGGCGCTTATAGTCCCAGTTACTTGGGAGGCTGAGGCAAGAGAATTGCCTAAGCCCAGGAGTTGGAGGTTGCTGTGAGCTGTGATGCCACAGCACTCTACTGAGGGCGATAAAGTTAGACTCTGTCTCTAAAAAAAAACAAACAAAAAAAACTGGATCTAGGTCTGCTATGCTGCTTCTCTTCTGACCCCAGATGGTTCTCCCTCTATCAAGCAGGTGCTGTTCCACAGCTGTGTCCACAAGGCTTTTCATGAAGCAAGGGGCACTGACATTGGGATGATATAAACAACTGCAATAAAAATTTTCTTTCTTCTTCTTGATTAAGATTTATGATTATTTTGGGGTAGAAAAGGGCACTGTGTCGGTATTAGGGCTAACTCTAACAAGAGAACACAGTGGTCTCAATTACTTATAAAACTTTATTGAGAGGTCCTCATTAAAGGGGCTCCTCCTAAGCTCCACCAGTTACTGAAAAGAAAAGCTGGTGCTGGGGAGTCCTCCACACCACTGACTGATGAATTTCAGCACATCCTGGCACACTGGGCTGTGGGAAGTCTGTGAGCAAATGGAAGGAATATGACAAGAACTCCTTAGTGCTGAGAAAACATTCCTGATTCAAAGAAAACCAGAGGCTGGACACGGTGGGTCATGCTTATAATCCTAGCACTCTAGAAGACTAAGGTGGGTGAATTGCCTGAGCTCAGGAGTTTGACACCAGCCTGAGCAACAGCGAGACCCCATCTCTACTAGAAAAAAAAATAGTGGGGCTACTTAGGAGGCTGAGCCCAAGAGTTTGAGGTTGCTGTGAGCTATGGGACACAGCAGCATGCTACCCAGAGCGAAAGAATAAGACTTTGTCTCAGGCTCGGCACCCATACCACAGTGGTTACAGCACCAGCCACATACACCAAGGGAGCTGGGTTTGAACCCAGCCCAAGCCAGCTAAACGACAATGACAACTGCAACAAAAAATAGTCCGGTGTTGTGTTGGGCACCTGTAGTCCCAGCTACCTGGGAGGCTGAGGCAAGAGAATCGCTTAAGCCCCAGAGTTTGAGGTTGCTGTGAGCTGTGATGTTATGGCACTCTACCAAGGGCGACATAGTGAGACTGTCTCAAAAACCAAACCAAACCCAAATTAGCTCCATGATAGTGTTACAGGGAGCAGGGTTTAGGGTCTTCAATGCCTTCTTAATAATCCCACCCACACTTCTAGTGGTCTTTTTTCTAGTGCTGTTCTCTCTGCCCTCATTCTTCAAGTTCCCCTCTCTAACCTTGATGGCCATAAGGAATTTATTCCAGTTATCCTTGTTGGCAGCTTTCCCTGGCCGCTTAAATTCAATTTTGTTCCTCAAAATGGGGTATCCTGTGGGTGCAAGAAAAAAAGATGAACTAGGATTTGAGGGAGATTGAGAAGAGAAAAATAAAGAGTAACTTGGAGTTAGAAAGTAGCATTGTCTTGTCTTTTGCACCCCTTACTGAACTGTAGTAATAAAAAGCTTAGTGATCCTACTTCTTCCTACCTACCACACAGGATATGGGGTTTGCACCTGTAATGAGGCAGGGCAGGGCCCTGACTCCAGTGCTTGCTGCCACCAAGGAGGCCTCATAGGCACCACGTTCATCACGAGGCAGAACCTGCTCCAGCCGCTGGTCCATTGAGACTGTGAGCACCCAGTCTCGAACTTCTTCTCTCTGAGCTTCCTAAAAAACAGACAGCAGCAGTTTCACACAGAGCAGGTGGAGGTAGCAAGGAGGAGATGTGCTAAGCCCTCATCCTATATACCAGCTTTCAGCCATAAATGATCCTCTTGGACTGGAGGATACAGTCACAGCCTTATGTTTCTACTCTGCTTATGCTTTCACTGAAGGAACAGTGAGGGCTGAAGTCCTTCCCCAAATGGCACTCACTAGTGAGGCCTTCTTCTTTTCCAACCCTGAGCTCTTACCGGTACATGCTGCTTGGCTGGGAGTGGCACTTCAAAGGGAATGTCTGTATCCTGAAAATCAGAGTGATCAAGGGCATCCAGAGTCCCTTCTTCAATTGCCTGTAATACAGTGGATATCTTTGAGATAAGCAAAGCTCATGACAGGCAAAACCTTCCAACCTCTAGATACAGCTTCCCTACTCACATCAGTTAGATCCAAAAAGCGATTGAGGAAGATGAATGCCATATTTTCCCAGCCAACTGCCTGCAGTACGGAAAAGTTGAAAACAAGCTGGGCTTGGATCTTTGATATGCAGGGAGGAAGATCCAGCAATATACAGGAGGCCTATCTCCTCCATAACATCAGCCCCATGCTCAGCTTTTTCCCACCTGAACAGAAGGCATATTGCCTATATTTTGCCTTTGATTTCCTCTCTTCAGCCCCACCCTTTCTTGTCCCAGCTTACTTTGGCAGCAATGCCTGCTTCATAGAAGGCCTTGTCTGCAGGTAGTAGCTGGGTGTGACGCAAGAGAGACACAGAAAGCTTGGCAGCCACAGTTTCCTATGGATTAAAGCATTATGATCATGGTATTATAGTGACTGGCTACCAGACCAATGATTCTGGAACTAAGGCAGCCACAGAACTAGAAAACCAACAATCATTATTAAACTGCTCTGGATCGCAAGCCATTTTTGGTTTTAGTTTTTTTTCATCTGCACAAGAGTCCTGTGCCTAGATTCTTGCTAAGGTTCTTCCCATTTCTAGAATTCTATCATCCAAGAATATGAAATAAATACATAGTAAACAATCACAAAAAAGCCAAAGGTATGTGTATAAGAGGTGAATAAAGAAACTGGGATTTTAATATTTAAACATAATGAGGCTGGAGCTGTATGGGCACAAAGCTGTAAGAAGGTCAAAGCACTATAAGAAGAAAACTATCTGAGCAAGGGTTAAATATTTGAACAGAAGAGAAGCTAAAAGAGAAGTGGGGAGGTTCAAGAGCCCAAGACTGAGAATGCAGAACTTGAATGCATCTGGCTTCATGCATCTACAGATGCATCTGTGTGACTGGGGGCTCCACCCCTCTCATCTCACCAGTTGTTTGATGCTCTGGGCTGCGGAGCGAGTGGCATAGTAATGAGCTATCAGCAGCATTGTCTCAAACTCCTCATGGGCTGGAGAGTTTGCCTCACTGGACTTCACCAGGTTTTCACACTAGAGAAGGAAGACAGCAAAGCCTGGCTCAGGGCTCAGAGGAGTGCCATGGCCATACAGTGAGTGGTCACTGAGGACCACTTGGACAGAGGAAGGTAAAATACATCTGAAGACAAAGGTTTAGGTGAAAGAAGAAACCAGGACAAAGAAAGGCAGAGTAGCCCTTTCACTCTGTTGTTGACTCAACTTCCTCACCAGGTTGAAGAGGACATCTCGAAGATCAGCCCAGCTATGATAGGCCTCAGCATTGTTGGTCCCGGGGGAGCTCACCATGTCAGCAAAGATCCTCTTGTAGATATTGAAGTTCTAGGGTAGAGGGGAGAGAGTATCTGAGTGAGGATATAACTAGAAGACAAAGTCAGAAGAAATGGGGCCAAAGGGAGGAGGAGCTAGAGGGCAGCGATGGAGAAAATGTTGACTTTTTAGGGAAGACAAAGGAGTAAGACAATTATTTCTTATTAGCTGATATTCTGTGTGTGTGCGCAAGTGTACAAGTGTGAATGCAGAATCACAATGTTAATGAGACTAGTATCTCAGACAGCTGTGATTCGCAGGTAGGGCAGCAGGATTATTCTCTGGAGGAAGGTTTTTTTTTTTTTTTTTGAGACAGAGCCTCAAGCTGTCCCCCTGGGTAGAGTGCAATGGCATCACAGCTCACAGCAACCTCCAACTCCTGGCTCAAGCGAGTCTCTTGCCTCTGCCTCCCAAGTAGCTGGGACCACAGGCACCCGCCATAACGCCTGACTCTTTTTTGGTTGCAGCCGTCATTGTTTTGGCAGCCCGGGCTGGATTCGAACCCGCCACCTTAGGTGTATGTGGCTAGGGCCTTAGCCACTTGAGCCACAGGTGCCGAGCCACTCTGGAGGAAGTTAATAAAGGCCCTAGAGCTGTGTGCAGGACTCACTGCTGAAGGACAGGTCCCAGTGTGTTAGCTAAGAGGATGGGGAGCACCTCATGTGTTTCTTACAAAGGGAATTCTCCAGAAAGGACGTACATTTCTCAAGAGACTGAATGGGGACTCTGGGCATGATGATGTTCATTAAAGATAGAATCTTTTGAGAAGATAGTTCCTAAGGGGAAAGATGTTTCTTGAGGAGAAAGAAAGAATTTTCTTGTGGAATCATTCACTCCAAGGAGAAGACTGGTACCTGTGGGTTAGCAGGGGCTCCATGTTGCACATACAGGGCCAGTGCCTGGGCAAAGCCACCCTCCCGGATCAGGTGAGTTGCATACAAAGCCACATACTTGTGCAGAATCTTGTAGTTCTGTCCGAGGGTGGGGGGAAAGCATGGGTAAGGTTCGGATCAGCAGGACCAAACAGTGAGTACAGAGTGATGACTTGAGGCTATGGATTTGTTTAGGAGTCAGAGGGCAAGCGCAAACCTCTGACCTCAAGTTCAGAGTATGGAAGGCTGAGCTCTCTGATGTTCAATAGGGATCTTTGGGATTTGGGCTTTGTTGGAGGTAAGACAGGTGCAACACTGAGGCAGGTGGGGGAAATCAAGAAAAAATGTAAAGAGCTGGGAGTAGAAAGAAGAGCAGTACCTGCTTGGTAGCAGTTTCAATGCACTTGTCCCACTGGCCCTGCTCCACATACAGGTCCAAAGCAGCTACCACATCCACACCCACCAGCTATGGGTCAATGGAAAAGACAGTTACATGAGGACAGAGACGACACGAGGGAGAAAAGAAAAAGAGAATCTCTTGGGCCTCTCCCAGCATTCTACCCAGGTTAACTCTAGAAGTCTCACCGAGTCCACTTTGCCCTGGTTCTTGAGGAACTCTTTATAATGCTGG